AGCAGTGGGACAGTGGCTCAGAAGCCCCTACCTCTGGGCCGGGAGCAGTGGGACTCAGTACCTTGGTCTTGTGGTCTGGTGTCCTCTGCATCTTTGTAGTGTGGAATCAGGTGGCTGCCTCTCTGCAGCGGGGTGATTTGGTGTCTTCCGTGTGACTCGGGACCTTGGTAGGGCATGCACAGACCTGCCTGTCTGCAGCAGGCTGATTCAGCATATTCCTCATGACTGGGACCTCGGTAGGGTGTGGGCAGACCTGCCTGTCTGCAGCAGGGTGATTCGGCGTCTTCCGCGTGACTCAGGACCTCGGTAGGGCGTGCACAGACCTGCCTGTCTGCAGCGGGCTGATTCGGCATGTGATGCTAACATTTTTATCTCCTTCACCTGTTCCCCAAACCCATAGTAGTAGTGGGGATCAATAAGGGAATTAGCCTGGCATAGTCCGAACTGCTTTTTAATAGTCTAATTCTAGAAGCTGTCTGAAGAACACCTAGAGAATAAAGAAACTATGAGATAAACTATCAGGAAGGAGGCTAACAAAGCTCTGCAGGCAGAATAGAGGAGGAATCATTTTAGATAAAACAACAAGAAGCAAAAATGGAAAGATTTAATGCATGAGTACCTGTGAATATACTAACCCTTCACTCCCTAAGTTATTCATTTTACTCATTTTCAGCCATCTACTTAGTGAAGCAATCATATTTTTTTCTAACCAGAATTCACTAAGACCTACCATGGATGTGAAAAATGGTGAATGAACACAGGTGATCAAAACTCTGCTCCAGGCATGGCATGGTGCACTGCTTGTATCATGCAGTCATCATAAACTATATAAACTATGCCTAGAGGAGAGAACACAGATATGATAAGGGCTGATCTCCATCAGGGGACACACCTGCCTTTACTGCTGGATGGCACATTTCCTTTTGTTTTTCTCTAGTGTTCTACCCTGGAATATTTCATCCCAACCAGCACCCTGTGCAGTGTCCTCTCTGTTACAAGATTGTCCCTGTGTTGAATGCACCTGGTCTTGCTTTCCTTCCTGGTCTTCTTGTGCCCCTGCTCCCTGCACCTACATAGGCAACAATGTCAGTGAGAAACACAACTTCCTCTTCTGACTTTACACTGCTGGGGCTTCTGGTGAACAGTGAGGCCATGGGGATTGTATTCACAGTCATCTTCGCTATCTTTGTGGTGGCCATAATAGCAAACTTGGTCATGATATTCCTGATTCAGGTGGACCCTCAACTCCACACCCCCATGTACTTCCTGCTCAGCCAGCTCTCCATCATGGACACGCTTTTCATTTGCACCACGGTCCCAAAGCTCCTGATGGACATGGTTTCCACAGAGAAGACCATCTCCTTTGTGGCCTGTGGCATCCAGATCTTCCTCTACTTGACTATGATTGGTTCAGAGTTCTTCCTGCTGGGCCTCATGGCCTATGACTGCTATGTGGCTGTCTGCAACCCTCTTAGGTACCCAGTTCTGATGAACCGCAAGGTGTGCCTTCTGCTGGCTGCTGGGGCCTGGTTTGGGGGCTCTCTGGATGGCTTTCTGCTCACGCCCATCACCATGAACGTCCCCTACTGTGGCTCCCGCAGCATCAACCACTTCTTCTGTGAGATCCCCGCAGTGCTCAAACTGGCCTGCTCAGACACATCCTTGTACGAGACCCTGATGTACATCTGCTGCGTGCTCATGCTGCTCATCCCCATCTCCATCATCTCCACCTCCTACTCTCTCATCTTGTTAACCGTCCACCGCATGCGCTCCACAGAGGGACGCAAGAAGGCCTTCACCACTTGTTCATCCCACCTGACTGTCGTCAGCATTTTCTATGGGGCTGCCTTCTACACATATGTGCTGCCCCAGTCATTCCACACACCTGAGCAGGACAAAGTGGTATCTGCCTTCTATACCATCGTCACTCCCATGCTTAACCCACTCATCTACAGCCTCAGAAACAAAGATGTCATGGGGGCATCTAGGAGGATATTCACACGTTGCTCCTCAGCTCAGAAAGTAGGAACAGACAGGAGCTAGAGATTCAATGACATAAGAACGGGTCTTCTCAAGAGCCTCCTCCAGGAGTTCTGATCCTCCTGAGACCATTTGGTCAGCTATCACAGTGGACTTTGTATTGAACACAAAGGGGGTTCATTTCATTTGGATTCTTGCTCCTAAAGGTGGAAGAATGTTTCACTCATTGCATAGAGACTGTGGGCAAATTATCAAAAACAATTTATCACTAAATGAAAGTATTCATCAGCTCTTGGTTCTTGTTTCTAAGGGAAACACAGAAATAGCAGATTTCATAGCAATCCTTCCACCATGAACCAGGTCTCCCTCAAAATTAACTCTTGGTTAAACAAAACAAATACTAAACAGTTATCAAATTTTGGGTGCCAAATATTCTGTGGTTATTTCTTATGAACATAGTAAAAGAGAAAAAATTGAAATCACACAATTTAATCATGGTTTTCATTAGGAATTAATACTAATGAACTGTATATCCTCTGATCATTTTGAAAACTTCTGGGCTGGGTAAAGAAGCTGCCGAATATTCAGCCACAACAAGCAGTGCATGAATTGAATGGAACCAACTGTAAATGAGCATCAAGCACAGCACAGATGCTCAAGGGGAATAGACTCGAACACTTAGCATCAGAGAACACTGCTGCACCCTTCTATGAGGGTCTGAGAGCAAAATTCTATGTACCCAAGCCAGAAATGTCAAGTTGCCCAGGTCTGTGTGACTCAACAAGAGCATATGGATGCACTTTGGGTTCAGTTCTGAGTGTGGTGGGAAGAACATCTGTAGAGCTTTTCATAGAAGTGGACATGATAAAATGCACATTTTTTAGAAGGCTTCCTATGTCTAGGGGCAGAGAAAAGAACAGGGAACAAATATGGATGCAGGAAGATAATACTGGAGGCTTCAAAGAAGTAACAGTAGCTGGAGTGGGGTGGAGACCAAGGAAGATTAGTTCATGCATTTTATATATGTTGGGAATAAATGTGGAAAGAAGGGAAACCATTGATTTTTGGCTTAAGTGAATGGAAAATGGAGTTTTATTTCCTTAAGTTTTGAAAAGTTCTACAGTGCAAAGTAAGAGAAATTGCTTTTTAAGAATTCAGTTGTTGTCAAGATAATTTTTACAGTCCTATTTAATGTATAGCCACATATAAACTCAAGTAGAGTCAAGATTTAGGGTTCTAACCTCAAGGAATGCATTTGGTAGTTTTCAGGGTCTAAAGATTCTCTAAAGACACAAAGTTAGTTGATTCAGGTGGACTTCCAAAGTTAGCTGAGATCTCTTCCTTATAGTAAGAAGTTTCAGACTCGGACTTGAAGCAATCGGGGGTCAAATGAAAAATCAATAGAGCAAGAGATAAGGTGTGATGAGATAAGAAATATGCTCAGAGGCACAAATAAAGAAGGTAGGTACAAAGAGAGGGTATAATCAACTACTACAAGTGCAGTTTGTTTTGGACTAAAATGAGAAATGAGATGTGATCTTTGTATTTAGAAACGGAAAATCACTTGAGATACTAATCGAGCAATTTCAGTGGAGATAGTCCTGGAGTACATTCAAAGTACAAAGAAAAAAAAAAAGAAGTAGAAACCGACAAGATGAGTAGAGTACAAAGCTTTAGATGGCTTAATTTTTAAAGGTAGTGGAGAAATTGAGCATAGGAAAGGCTTTGACCTCCTGCTCACTTGGGAGTGGGTTAATGAATCCCATGTAAGCCTGCCCTCAGATTGCCCATGAGATGGACTCTACAGAGTGCCTAGCGAAGAGCAAGCACTCATCATTTTAACTACAATTACATACAGTAACAACCAATACAAGATAGTGGTAACAGCAACTTTTATCATTACTACTACAGAATTACCATTACTTCTGTGAGAAAAATAATCTCATAGTCACGATTTTTGAATGACTATAATTGCAGCATGCAATAGACATTCAACAGCTCTTTGTTTCTATGAATTGGTCTTTGGGGGCAATTAAAAACTATACAACCAACATTCCTGCCTTAGTGGGGCTTCTTAGATAACATAGATTGATTTGGCATCATAAAGCTACAACCTTTCACTTCCAAATGCTAAGTTTAAGACCTTCCCCTAAAATATTCCCTCTGTAGTCTGGGCTTTGGAATGGCTTTCAGGTGGTTGGGTTTCCATTTAGTGTGGAAAAAGGTCCCTGCCCTAAGCATTCTTCTTGTGCTCAGTAAATCTCCTGTATGTTTTAGTAGATTTTATTAAAATACTCCATCTCCTATCTTTGGACACAATATCTCAATATTCAATGTTTAGAATGCATAGTCTACAATTAATATTTAATCTGTATTTGATTATTTTTACCCCATCCTCCATGTTCAGAGCCAATTTAATGGCATTAAAGCCCCTTGCTTGGAAGGAAACTCATCTGAGTTTGAATCTTGGCCTTTTCCTTTTCAGGCTGTGCTCCTGTGAGCATGATATTCAACCTCTCAGTGCCACCACTTATGTCTTGCTAAGAGTTAATCCAATGGCAAGAACGGGAGTGGCTTCTTAGGACAGGTGCTCTGAGTCTATAGCTGTTGTTCCTTGAGGCTAGGGACTCTGCCTTTCCCATGTGGCCCCCTGGTGTTCTTATGTGGGTTCTCTCTTGAGCGAGGATTCTCTGGATTCTCAGTTTATATCTCAGGCACCGCAGCCATGAACATTTGTAATTGTGTCTGGTAATTTTGAATTTACTCTTTTTGCCTTGATTTGCTGATCTGTCTCCACAATGAACACAATCTCGAGGTGGATGTTTGCAGAGTCATCTAGACGTCCCCAAAAGGTGGCGCTGTAGGACACGCTGACATCATTGTTCTGCCTGTGGCTCTTGTGACTGTCTTTGAACAGTGCTCCTGGTTTCTTTAAAATATCATTTGCAGAGTTGAAGAACACACACACACACACACACACACACACACACACACGACAGTGGAATCATTTAACAGGTGCCTTGGAACAGCTGAAGGTGACCTCCCCGTCCCTGTCCTTTTGCCATTAGGCATTTTCCATTCTCACAGGTGTCTGTTGGCATGAGCAGCTCTAATAGGGAGCTGCCTTCTGTGTGTGAGAGCACAGCTGATCTGAGTCTCAAACCAGCTCCACTGCTCACAGCTGTGGGCATGACTCAAGCCTGGGCTTCAGTCTCTTAACCTTGGTGAGCAGTGAATGTGTTGATATACGTGGAGCTCTGTCCTGGATCTTGGTTAGGTAGTGTTATTCAGTGTGATCAACACCACCATCAGAATGATCACCACACCCAATGCATTCCGGGTATGCTCTGGATTGAAGACCCAGGCTTGGGTGTCCAAACACCTGAGTGCAACTGTACCTGCTCTGTCCACTCTGCAACTGCTCCACAAACACTTGGAAAAATCATAGCTCATATGAGAACTTTCTGCATGATTATGCCATTCACTTAATTGTTTAAAATGGTTTTTATGACATCTATTCTGTATGTATCAATGTAATCAAAGTGTAGAGCTTTATATACGAAATATGTATTAAATATATATTAAATATTACTTAATATTTAAATATATTTCTTATCAACTTCCCTCAATTTTTTTAAACTTGAAGAAAAACGTTATGCAAAGAGTTACAACAATGGGAATCATTTGCTTGAGAATCTTTGTTTGCAGCTATTTCATATTATTCATATATGTATATATTAATATTATTAGTAATACAGAAGGGTGAGGTT